AAACAACTCTGTTATGTGGAATCTTTAGGAAAAGCAAATAGGAAAGTGTCATTACAGACCTTTAGAGTTCCCGAATATACTCTAGAGAGTACATTCAACATGTACTCAACTCACACCCTTAAGAGTTCCCTATGACTGTCTCATGGAGGAGGAAAGAACTTGTGCTGGTATAAAAACGGGTCAGCCTGACATGTTGGGTGGACTTCACGGTCAATAATGAAGGAAATTTACCCAGTGGGAAGATCAGCAAAGTGTTTACTTGGTGTTCCCTTCATGTAGAGAAGGAGGTAACCTTAGGTGCAGATGTACATTGAGCTTTGGCAGAGTTAATAATCTGATGGGCCTGAAAGAAATAAGACTAGAAAATCAAATATAAGGGATATGAGCAAGAGACATGTAGATGGGGCTGTAGGAGTGAGCACAGTCAAAACCATGCCTATCAGAGAGTAAATACTGCAGAGGAAGCTTTCTGCTACCAGGTGGACATTGTCACGTGTCTAGTGGATATTAGCCAGCCTCCTTTCTCAGTTACTGCAGAGTTTGTGCAATAGACCCATGAGGAGAATGATCTATTGTGGTTGGACTTAGATCTTAGCGACAGAAGCAGGGAAAATGCGTGGACCCAGGACATGGCCTCCCTTTCCAAAGCTAATATAGCTATTGTCGCTTCTAACTATCAAATGCCAGAAGCAGACTGACAGTGAGCCACTGAGATGGTACCATTCCTCCAGGGTACAATAGAGACCCAACATCCGTTGGGTGGCAGGCAAATTAAGTTGCATCTTCTCCACTTTGGAGCAGGCAGCAATTTGTCCTAAGTGGATGAATTATGGTCTAGATATGTGTTTGTCTTTCCGCTTACTGTGCTTTCACTGGCACCCACATCTGATAGCCTAAGAATGACTGATCCAATGATATGGTGCCCCATATAATATTGCTTCTACTAAGGGACATTTGCTGCTGTATCAAAGAAGGCACAACAGTGAGCTTATGGTCATAATGTGATTCATCACCCAACAGCGACAGGCCTGATGGTACAGCGGAATAATATTAATCATGAAAAGTTCAGCCAAGACACCAGCATGAGGAAAAACCTTAGAATTGGGATACTACCCTCTAGGATTAGGATTGGGAAATACACCAAACCAATCGCTGATATAGAATGTTGTATTTATCATACCCAGGACCCACAGTCCTGGGACTAAGGGTAGCCCCTTCCTGTAATCAATAGCAGTGATCTGCTTGTGGTATTTGCACTACCTTTTCCTACAACTTTATACTTTGCCAGTTAGAATCCTGGTTCTTGTGGTGTAGTCAGGGGAGCAGTGCTGTTCTGTCAGGGGACACAATTAGAATCCCACTTAAGTGGAAGCTGTGATTGGTTCCATATGTGATCTGGTGTTCCTCACGACGATAGACCAAAAAAAATGGTGTGAGATATCCATACTCACCACCATGAGGAGATAGGGCTACTGCCACAGAATCTGAGCGAGGCAAAATATGTTTGAAACTTAGAAGTACTCCACGCCCTGATGGAAAGGAGAAATTATAGCAACCAAGACTCCATAGAAGCAAGAAAACTAAGGGCTTAATTCATCAGGATTTAGGTCTGCAACACCCTACTCAGCAGCAGCTCAGATCAGCTGAAAATGCTGGTAGAGTATGGAGGAAAATCTGGGATTCATGGTAAAGGAGATAGGTGATGAATGTCAATTAAGGCCTTAAGAACTAGTTGGAGGATTGGATATTGTGGCTGGATTTATTACCGCTCTTTTAAGTCTCTGGGGAATCGCAGCTTGCCGTCATTCTAAAGGACTGTACTTAGACTCTCCTCTTGGGAAATATGTGAGGGATCTTATTTTGCATGCTATCGGGTTGTCAGTAGATGGTGCAAGTACATCTGAGTTGTACATGGGGTTGTCTGTCCTGGGCCCAGTTTGTGTGCTTTTCTACATTGGCTCAATCCTAATCCTAAGGATTAAAACCTTACAATCCTAACATGTCTTCACGTTTTTGACCACTTGCTCAATGGTGAGCCTCAGATATTGCCACCACTGTCACCTTATCTCTTAACACCATTTACTATATTAGCCTCTCTCAAGGTGAAGACAAGGCATTAGCGTGTCCCCAGTAGCAACCACCATGGAAGGATTCACAGTAGTTTTGGCAACTGTCATATAGGGACACACCCAGGAAAATTCTATCTCCGTTAGAGTATGGTTTCCCCAGTGGCTACACAAAGGGGCAGATTATGAAATCATAAAAGGCAGAGGACTTAATGACCTGTAGGATGAATCTTTATCAATGAAACATAGAGTATGACAAGCAACTGACATGTAAATGTTCCTCTCTCTGACTAACTGTTCCAAGGTACAAAGGTTCCAAATGACTTCTTTAGGTTTGTTTCACATGACCAAATAACAGGCCACGTTTTCTTGTGAAGTTCTGCCCAGCTCAGTCATGTACCACCTTGTGGCTGCTTTCTTCTCTTCCCTGTATCACTTCTTTTTTTACCTCCTTGTGGTTGACCTGGCATTGCTTAATCTCATTCTGTGCTTCCTAGAGAATCTGGATTGAGATGCCAAGCAAAGGTTTTAATCCAGGAAGTTTTTTGAACACTGAGTGACAAATTAAAATGTCTTTATGAATAAATAGCCCTAGGCTTCCTGATTGGAAAGTTTACCAATTTTCATGCACCAAGTTATCTTCTATCTTTCTCTATTTTAAAGTATGAATATACCTCTCTTCTTTAATGAAATTAATGTGCTTATTAATTTCTTTTTTAATAAATGCAGTGTGTCTCTTACCCTGCTCCATTTTGTTTTGCAATGTTTTCATTACTCTGTCTGGTTTATTGCACTTTTATCATGTAGTTCCCTTATATTGGAACTTTTCTCAGTGCAGAGAGACAGTATGCTCGTTGTTTGTCCTTTTCAGAATGTGTACCTATTTTTACTGTCATTTCTTAAAACAAACAGATTCATCAGTATCCTTCTCTTTATAAATTGTGGCATAATGGAAGAGTGCAATAAATTTTAAACAAAAATTATGGAGTCCTCACAGCTTGTATTAAGGCACTCCTCACAGAACACTAAACTTTTCTGATTACATTTTGCCAAACTTATCTTAGGCAAGGGAATGTACACCACCCCCACTATCCCAGAATGTAGTCAGGGGCTTCACTATCACTCTTCTATCTTCCTCGTCATCTCCCCTTTAATTATTCTTTCTGATAATAATTTAGAGACAATACAAATTGTAACCATATGGTGCATCTATTAGTATTAAATAAGAATTGTTAGCTAATATTTTCATTATAACTGTATGTTGAAAGCAAAACTGAAACTTTACATATTAAGTTGATATATTACACTTGCTATATATCTCAGATACAACCTAATTGCTCAGATTCTTCTGGACTTGGATATATCAATCTTTTGGAATTACTTGTTTGCTTTAGTGGTTGTTGCTTTTTCCTAAACTTGTACATCCTGCCGTTTGAGTGCAAACAAGAAGTTAACTCCCCAATCTTCAACCTTCTCTTTGTCTCTTATTTGGTCATGATTTTTTTTTTTTTTTTTACTCTATTGTATATTGATTAATTACTTTTTCTTCCATGAGTGCTTCATCATGAATACTAATCTTTGGAAAAGTTGAGAGTGACATGAATGTTCACAAAAATTATAAAGACCTCAGATGAAAATTGCAGCAATTCAAAATTGCAATCCCATTGGAACAAAACAAAGACAGCTACAACCATTTGAAAGCAAGTCACATTTTTGCACACCATCCATTATTCTTGCATTTAACAGAATGTTAAAGATTCTACAGCTTGTGAATTTATTAGCTTGGTATTTAGCATGTTTCATGGCCAAAATAGCAAAGAAGCTTCATTATTACTGGTTAAATTAGCCTCATGAAAATGTTGTTGGTAAAAGGTTACAGAAATGAATAAGAGATCTAACCAAGCAGCATATTGGACCATTTATCACTATAATTTTAAAAAGGCATTCTCATGATTTAAATTAACTTGGCTAAAGGGTAGAGATTTAGATAAAAGTTAGTAATTGAAGCCTAAATGACATGGTTAGCTCTTCTTTTTGATAAGGACAGAACAATGCATACACATACAGTAGTTTCATACATTGTCCTTTTGGCAGAAGCTGAAGCCAATAAAACCATACCTGACAATACCATTTATTTGTTATTCGGGCTTTTTTTGGGGGGGGGGGGAGACAGAGTCCCGCTTTGTCACCCAGGCTGGAGTGTAGTGACCCAATCTCGACTCCCTACAACCTCCATCTCATGAATTCTAGAGATTCTCCTGCCTCAGCCTCCTGAGTAGTAGCTGGGACTACAGGCACGCGCCACCACGCCTGGCTAAGTTTTGTATTTTTAGTAGAGACAGGGTTTCACCATGTTGGCCAGGCTTGTCTTGAACTCCTGACCTCAGGTGATCCACCCACCTCGGACTCCCAAAGTGCTGGGATTACAGGCGTGAGCCTCCGCGCCCGGCCGGGTTTTTGCTTTTTAAAGAAATATTTGTAACTATATTATATATAAACGGAATTACCTAAGTATCTCATGTTTGCTTCCAACATGGTCAGATATCCCTTCCCACATTCTTTGATTCTGTATCGTTGAAACTTAAAAACTTAGCCATCTTTACATAGAGGTTTTACGATTTGCTTTTTAACTGATATCTTCCCTATGTATATAAGAATAGGAAGTCTGCCATCTTCGTGAAAATTTCATCAGGGAATTTAACATTTCTAATTTTTTGCCCTTTGACATATGTTTTTATTTGTGTGGTCTAAACTATTCATATTTTTTGTGTGCTAAAATAATTTTTTAAAAATATTTAAGCTAATAAGCTCATAGAACTTTCCTGGTAATTATGATGAAATAATTTCTTACTATCTTGACAAGTCTGACTAAGGGTTATGTGTCTATGGATTTAAGATAAAAGTAAAGTTTTTCCTCTCTTCCACTCTTAACAGAAACCAGGAGATAAAAGAACTTGGTGAGCTTTCTCCACATTGGGACAATCTGCGAAAAAATGTCCTTACTCACTGTGACCAAATGGTGAATATGTACCAAGACATTCTGACAGAACTGAGCAAGGAAACAGGTGTGGAAGCAATAACTCTACTTACTCAAAGTGAATTGCATTTCCTGCTTGTGAAATGAAAAAATAATAATAAACTGATTTTATGTAGATAGGAGAACTGGAGATTTTTTTTTAAAACTCTTTTACTTCTAACTTTAACATCTTAAAACAAAGAAAACAATACCCTATTTTACCTTACAGAATTATTACGTGAATAATTGAGACAATTTTTTAAAATATTGAATTTCTAAGAAGAAAAGCAACTCATAAATATAGGATATGTTTTTCTTTCTGAAGTTATTTTAACATTTTTCTGTCAGGTTTATCTTTTAACATGCATATTGATTTATCATTATTTACTAATAATGTTTCATTTCTGGTTTCCATCAGGGTCCTCTTTCAAATCAAGCAGCAGCAAAGGAGAGAAAACATTAGAATTTGTTCCAGTAAATCTACATCTGCAAAGAATGCAGGTACACAGCCCTCACTTGAAAGGTATCATCATAAATTATTCTTTTCAAAATGGCAAATTATATTACAGTATGTACTTCTTTGAACAGCTTGAGTATTGGCAGAAGTCAAGTTTAACAATTATATAAAGTTGAAAATGAAACAATTGAACCTCATAATGACCTTAAATCCTGCTAAAGAGACTCTGATATTTTTGTTGCTGTATTTTTGAGAAATATTTTATGATTGTGGCACCTGGATTGAGGTAGAGATGAAAATGCAAAATGAGTAATAGCATCCTTAAGTAGTATTAACGGTGGCTAATAGGTAACACTTGTGCTCACTTGAATTAGGGGAAAAAAAAGAAAGAAAAAAAGAAATTTGCTCATATTTTTCCTGTCTTGAGAAACCAAAGCCCCAAAGTCGACTAATACGCCAGGTTTTTATGACTTACTGGTAACTATCAATAGAAGCCCCCTTTTCTATGGGGAAAAAAGTGAGTATAGTAAGGTAGAAGGTGGTAGAGTATTTAAAAGTAATCAGTTGTAAGAAATATTTGTCAAAGAGAAATAGATAGGTTTTTCTGAACGTACCTGAAAATGATCCAGAGTGACCAATATGGTGTCATATTTATTACCATTATAAATAATCCCTCACCATTTATCAAAAATATACTTTCCAATATCTTTTCATCTCCCCTTTTCCTTAACTTATTACTATAGCAATTATGCAAATTCAGGATGACTTTATGCCCTGGTTTGCTGGCAAAAGTCCTAGATTATGTCCCTGTCCCTGCATATGCCTATGACCATTGTTAATGGTACCCTTGCTTCCTTTCCTTCTTAAATGTTTTCCTGTTTAGAAGACTAATGCTGTGGTCATCTTACTAGTACCCATCTTTTAGGGGTCACAAAGTTATCAAATTCTTTAGGATAAGTGCCTAAAAGTGCATACAAACATACTTAGAGAGACATCTAAATTCTCATTCTGACACTCTGTTTTGTAGCCCTTGTTACAACATAGTAGTTACAGGTTTAGAAAGGTTAAAACACAAGAGCTGTTGTACACTGTTAGTGAAAATGTAAACTGGTGTAGCCACTATGGTAAAAACAAATATGGAGGTTCCTAAAAAAACTAAAAATAAAGCTACCATAGGGTCCAACATTCACACATCTGGGTGTTTATCCAAAATAATTGAAATGAGAATCTCAAAGAGGTGTTTGCACTCCCACATCCATGGCAGCATTGTTCACAGTAGCCAAGACAGAAAAATGTCCATCAATGGGTGAAAAGATAAATTGTGATATGTACAAAGAATGGAATATTATTCGGCCTTATAGAGAAGAAAATGCTGCCATGGTGAGACAACATGGAGGATATTATGCTAAGTGAAATAAGCCAGGATACAGAGGAACAAATATTACATGACACTACTTATATGAGGAATCTAAAATAGTCAAACTCATAGAAGCAGAGAGTATAATGGTGGTTTCCGGAGGCTATGGGGAGGATGAAAAAAGGAGGTATTAGTCAAAGGGTACAAAGTTGCAGTTATGCAAGATGAATAAGTCCTAGAGAGTTATGGTACAGGATAGTGTCTATAGTTCACAGTACTATATTGTATACTTTAAAATTTCTGAGGGGATAGATCTTATGTTAAGTGTTCTTATCAGACACATACACATTAATAATAATAGCAATATTAAAGAGAGAGGAAACTTTTGGAGATGATTGATAGGCTTATGACATAAGTCGTGGTAATGGTTTAAAGAGTATGTATTTATGTCCAATGTCATCAAGTTGTATACATATATATCGCTTTTTATATGTCAATCATATCTCAATAATATGGTTTTAAAACGTGAAAGTGAGATCTAAGTTCTGCTTTAGAATTGTCTGAAATTTTGTAGTCTGAAAAATTAAACTTTATTGTTTTCTAGTGTTTGCATACCAACCATATATACATCATCAGCTGATTTGCAAGTTTAAGTGTGATTATACTTATTCTGATGTATTATGTTATTATATGTGGTGATCAAGTATATGAAATTTTAATTTAGGTCTCATTCACCACAGATTATGTCAAATGAAAGAACTGAATAAAAAGAGAGATGGATTGGCCCAAGGCATTTAGAAACTGCTGTGGTCTGAATGTATCCCCGAAAATCATGTGTTAGAAACTTAATCCCCAGTGCAACAATGTTGGGAGGTGAGACCTAAGGGGAGGCATTTGGATCAAGAGAACGCTACACTTATGAGTGAATTAATGCCACGATAAAAAGAGCTTTCAGGAGCAAGTTTACCCTCTTTAGCTCTTCTGCCTTGTAGATTCACGGCATTTGTTCTCTCTTGCTTTTCCACCTTCTACCATTTAAAAGCACAACAGAAGGCCATCATCAGATACCAGTGCCTTGATCTTAGACTTCCTAACCTCCAGAACTGTTAGATAATAATTTATATTTTTTAATATAAGTTACTCAGTCCATAACATTATGTTATAGCAGCACAAAATGGAGTAGACAGTAGTTCTTCCTTAATTACTGAGTGTCTGTCAGTAGTTTGAATAGAATAGGTAATGATTTTTAAAATAAGCAAAAACAAAGTGTTACAAGTGTTAAAGAAACTAAAATACTTAAGAACTATCTGACAATCAACATAATGTTTTTCTAATAGCCAAAATGAAAAGGCTTTTATGATGTAGTAAAATGTTTATATTATTTTAGAGTGTAACAGCCTTGGGCTTGAATTGTAGCACTACCACTTTTTACGTGAGCTGAGTCTGCTATTTAATCTTTCCAAGCAATTTCATTCTCATTCCTGATTGAGTTAGGGTGTGTAAAACACATAGACTGATAAAATAATAGTAGCTTTATTATACATGTGACATTTTGCATCACTGGAACAAAATGGATCTGTTTTATAAGAACTGATGAAATTAGAGAAAATTGATCAAGTAGGAACCTATTAAAAATCAACGAAGTCTTGAACTAAGGAAATAGCCAGGTTTAGATTAAAGATGACTTAAAGATGCATTTTGGAGAAACCATCACATGCAAATACTTACTGACTGAGGGAATAAGGCAAGGAAGGAAAAGGATAATTTGCTTTACAGCCGTGGGTAGATGACAGTGTCATCAAACCAGATAGATTTGTTTGGGACCACATACATATGAATTCATACTTAATTATGTATTCAAATGTTTATTGATTAACCTTAAAATACTTCCACCAAACAAAGAGAAATTATGATCAAAGTGGCCTTTTACTTCATATTTCTTTCTTGAAAATGAAAGAACCATGTACTATGCTGTTGTCCAAGGTACCATCTGAAAAATAGAGTAAAATAGGATGAGGACAATATGTTTAGTTTCTGAATCTCTGATTTGAAGATTTGAAAGAAACAATCTGGCAACTAAAAGAAAGAAATTTAGAAAAGCAAACAAAAGGGGTGTGTGTGTGTGTGTGTGTGTGTGTGTGTGTGTGTGTGTGTATACATGCATGCATTTTCTAACTTGTTTGGTTTGGGATATGTATTAGTTTTCTAGAGCTGTTATAGAAAAGCACCAAAAACTGGGTTGCTAAAATAGCCAAACTTATTTTTTCACAATTCTGGGGACTGGAAGTCTGAAATAAAAATGTCATCAGGGCCATGCTTCCCCTTAAACCTATGGAGTATTCCTTCCTTGTCCTTTCCTGGTATGTGCTGGTTTGCTGCTAATCCTTTGCCTGCTGATGTTATATGCCAATCCTCTATCTTGCTCATGGTGTTCTCCTGCCCTCTCTGTATGTCTGTTTCTGTATCCAAATGTCCCCTTTAAGGACAACAATTATATAGGATAAATGGCTTTATTTCAACTAGATTATATCTGTAAAGACCTTGTTTCCAAATAAAGTCACATTCTGAGGTATCTTTCTTGGGAGGTACGAGCAAACCCACAAGAGGATTTTGAAAGGAATTTCTTATTTGTAATGACAAATACTAAGGAATACAGAAAAAAAAATTAATGTTACAGATCTTGGGTACAACCCAGAAACTAGAAGATTTTTGACAAAGCAGTTAGCAGAAAGACTGGTTCTGGTCTTTGAAGAGCTAAAAAGAAAATATGGGAAAAGGCTAGATGTCCTAAGAGCCACATTAATGGGAAAAGTACAGAATTGTATTGCATATATAACAGCATGCTAAATTATCAAGCTATGTTTTAAAAATATTTATATAATATTAAAAGTTATTAGTTGAAACTGGAGTTCAGATTAAGTAGCTGCTATGCAGACTAGGTCACCAACTACCTGTTATAATACAGGTTGAAAACTCCATTGAAATTTTGGGTCCTTGCCACTTACTACTTTGACTTTAACCGTGTTATTTGACCTCTTTGAGTGTCATTTTATTATTTGCAAAATGAAAAGCTTAAAAGTTTTCATGGATGGTAGTGAATCAAATATTCTACTTTCTTTCATAACATGTATTTAACAGATTTTGGATTGCAGTTGAATTTATTTAAGATTTGTGGCTACTGATTTGAATGTTTAGCTGAATATTGCAAGGTAATAATGCAAGTAAGATGGGATAAGCCTTGGCATTTTACTGGCAAACTATTTGGATGTGGTCTAATTTTTTTTTTCATTTTTACCATTAGTAAATTGTGTCTTCACATTTGACTAATAAGCCTGCTATATTTGGAGAGAGGAAGCTTTGCAAACAATAGCTGGCAGAGTCACTAAATACAAGGCTAATATGTAGCTCTTGAAATAAGTAACTGAGCAGAACTAATGTTGTCATGTCTCATACTGACAAATGGAATAACCTGCAGTTAACTTAGGGTGCCCTGAAACTCATTAAGTTAAGTTTTTCATCCTTATTCATCACTTAAACTAAATGTAACAAGTAGAATACTCACCACAATAGATCTTAGCCAGCAGTGACAAGAATGAAACGTAAACCCCAAAATTAAAAACAAAAGATTTTATACTAATATACTTTAATAAATTTTATTTTCATGGCACATCAATTGTGAATATTATGGAATATAAATTCCTGTAATGTA